GGGACTCTAACCCTAGAAGCTAGCTCATGAGGGGAAGATTGCCCGAGTCTATATAAGGAGACAACCAACTCATTCCCAATCAGTGTGGGACTCTACCCCAATCTAATATCCGAGGTCATATCTTTACATGGTATCAAAACCACTAGTGCTCAAAAATTCTTCTTTCTTGTTAAAATTTTTAGAGCAGATTTTGATTCTTTTGGTGTTGTTAGATTTCTTTGATACCCAATATTGTGTTGGATTGCCTGATTGGTGAGGCTTCTCTATTTAATTAAAATTTTCCTTTTGTTGGGAATTTCCTCTGTTGGGGTCAGATTCGTCTGATCTGTTTGAATGGTTTATTGGTTTTGTTCCACAGAAGTTTTGCTGGGTCAGATTTGAAACTTTTGGGTGGCATCTTTTTTTGGATGATATTTATCTTATCCTCAAATATTAGCGGTTTGGGTTGCTATTTTGTGAAGCTTTGATATTCTCTTTGTCATAAGAATCTTTAATTAGGAAAACGGCTAAGGTTGTTGTTGCTAATAGGCTATCATCTACTAAAACAATTCTGGTCTCGGCGGATGAGTTTGCAAAATTCTCTCGGTATCGATAATCACTTTAGGAATCCACTTCCGGTTACTACCCTAGCTGAGTCACGTAACACACGTATTATTTCCTCTTCAAGCAAGTGAGTGATTGATTTAGGTGCCACTAATCACATGACAACTAATCCTTATATTTTTTCTAGCTTTCAGCCATATAAAGCACCCTCTTCAAGCACCCTCTCCCGTTACTGTAACTGATGAGTCAATCTGTAGCCTTGTGGGATCTGGTCTATTAAACAAACCTTCAATATTACATTGTATTAAGACTACTAAAACTAGCCTTTAATTTGATTTTTGTGAGCAGACTTACGAAGGACCTAAATCGTTCTATCGTAGTTTTTCTTTTTTTTCTGATCATTATCTATTTCAAGATCTTGTGACAAAGCAAATTAGTGGTAAATGGCTGTATTTGATGGTCTCTATATCCTTGATGAATGGATGTCTCAGACTGTTGCTTGTTCTAGTGTCTTATCTCCATTTGAAGCACATTGTTAGGTCGGACATCCCTCTCTCCCTATGTTGAAAAAGCTTTTTCCTCAGTCTTAATTCTTCGTTGGATTGTAAGTCTTGCCGGTACAAAAAACACCATCGTAGCTCGTTAAGTCCAAGGGTTAATAAACGAGCTTAGTTTGCTTTTGAGTTAGTTCGTTGTGATATTTGGGGACCATGTCATGGCATATCCAAAACTGGATATAATTATTTTGTTACTTTTGTGGATGATTATTCTCGAACGACCTGGATTTATTTTACGAAGAACCTATTGAAGTGTATTCCCACCTTTGTGCCTTTTGTGCTAAAGTGAAAACTCAATTTAGTGTTTTTGTGCGCATACTAAGGAGTGATAATGCTAAAGAATATATGTCAGACTCATTTTGGACCTTACGAGATTCTACACCAGATGGCTTGTGTTGATACACCCTCTGAAAATAGAGTTGTTGAGAGGAACAATAGACATTTACTTAAGACAACTTGGGCATTCCTAATCCAAGAAAAGGTTCCTGGACAATTTTGGGCTGATGCGGTCTCTACGACTTGTTTTCTTATTGATCGCATGCCATCTAATGTTCTTGTTGGTGGTGTGTCTTACGATGTTCTTTCCCCAAAAAATCAATATTTCTAGTGGAGCCTAGATATTTGGAATTACATATTATTGAGCAACATTCGACTATTGTGTCTCATGAGTCAGCAATTACTCTATCTACTCCAACAAAAGTTTACTCAGGTGAGAGACCAATGATATATGTCCTGCATCAGTTCCTTCATCACAGGATCCTCCTCAACTTGATCCTACACAGGAAACACCTTTCGACTGTTGTATGCGAAGGTACACGTCAGTGCAAATCCACATATTACATTGCTAATTTTATTTATGACTACCACTAATTTCCTGCGTAGTAATTTGATTCGCTCTCTGGACTCCATCTATGTACCTAAAACAAGAAAGCTGACCTTGAACCATTCTAGATGGTGTGATGCAATGCTTGAGGAGATACATGCTATATAAAACCACACTTGGGATTTAGTGAATTTACCCAAAGAAAAGGAACCAGTAAGATGTAAATGTGTTATCAAAGGCAAAAAGCGCAAAAAAGCTCTAAGGCCTATTGGGCTTTAAGTGTAAAGCGCAAATAAAGTGTGGTCTTTAATGAAGAAAGGCGCAAATAGAGAAAAACTACAAATATGTATGTGTAATCCAAAACTAATATCAATAAGCAAGAATACCGAATACATGGACAAAGAAATTGAAGAACTTTTACGCTAAAGTAAAATATTAGTGGTCCAATATCCCCTTTTCAGGATTACGCTCATTTGCATAGAAAAGTATATTTTAGAGCCTTGATGACAACACTGAAGTGCCCGCTAAGTGAGGTTGCTAAGCGAAGCGAAGGGCTCAACATGTTTTGAGTCTCGCTTCAGGACTTAAGCATGCTTTAAGAGTCCCTTTGATAACAGCGGGATGTAAGTAGGTCTTTGAATTAAAAGTTTAATCCGGATGGCTCTGTGACAAGACTTACGGCAAGACTTGTGGCTAAAGGATATGCTCATACTAATGGCGTGGATTATTCAAACACCTTCTCCCCAGTGGCCAAACTCACTTTCGTCCGCTTGTTCTTTTGTACATTGGCTTTTACATCAATTGGATGTCAAGAATGTATTCCTTCTTGGTGATCTCCACGAAGAGGTGTATATAGAGAAACCATCCGATTTTTTTGCTCGGGGGAGTATGGAAAAAGTACGTCATTTGAAGAAGTTCTTATATGGCTTGAAGCAAAGTCCTCGGACTCAGTTCCGCAACCTTTAGCGGTCAAGAGACTAGTTTGCGGCAAAAATCGAGGATGTAGTTTAAGAAGGGGGATTCTAATACAAAAAAAAATCATGGGGTTGCGATAGCGAATAGGAGAGGAACTTCATTGACTCCTTAGAAGTGAATGGAGTGGTGTTTGAAGGGGAGGAGAAAGTTTTATTTTTTTTGGATAAGGTAAAAGTTTAAGGGGAGGAGGAAGTTAAGGGGGCTATCGTAGAGTATTATGATCAGTTGTTCAAGGAAGATGTGAGTTGCATACTAAATTGGGGGGGGGGGGTAGTGTTTTGTCAAATAGGGAAAGGAAAGAGAGAGTGGTCGGAAAGGGCAATAGAAGAAGAGGTGAGGGAAACGGTGGTGAGTTGTGTGGGAGACCAAGGTTAAGGACCGGATGGTTCACTTAAGCTTTTTTCCAACAACGTTGGAAGATAGTCAAGGGAAAGTTGATGGAGACTATTGCGGATTTTCGAGATTCTGGAGAGTTCGAGGATAACTGCAACTCACATGGTCAAACAAGTGCACGATATTCATGCAAAAGTCAAACAAAAACTTTGAAAAGACTAATTCTAAGTACAAGGCAGCTGCCAATAACATTGTTGCTACCTTTGAAGAATGAGATGATGTTATGGTGTTTATGCAAAAAGAAAGGTTTCCATTGGATACTTATAACAAGCTCCAACAAAAGAAGTATCGTCCTTATTGCATTCTAAAGAAAATTAATGATAATGCATATGTGATCGATTTGTCGGATACCTAAGTTGCTCAGACACGGGTGCGGGTGTCTGACACGGGTGTGGATCTTTAGGACGGATCCTTCGAGATGTAAATTCTAATATTTGGGGATACGGATCCTAATACGGATACGGGTACGGGGATCCGGCTAAAAACAATTCACAAAAATAAAAATATAAAATATCTCTAAATTATGAGAAATTTTGTGGAATACTTACATATAGCTTGTAAAGTGTGGATTTCTTTTTTGTTCTCAAGTTGTAGATAAGTAAAGGATTGATTTCCTAGATAAGGTATGTTATTTTCTTCAAATTTCCCCTAGTTTTGGTTCTGATTTCAGGAATCAAATTGTATCTCGTCTCGCATTTTTCCGTCCGTCGTGGTCAAAATACCCAAATTGTTTTACCAGATCCGGTACGGACATCCACACCCATACTAGTGTCGTGTTGACACGGGTGCGGCACCTAAACTGCCGTGTCGGAGTAACTTAGTCGGATACCACGAAAATTTTCAAGAATTTTGAAGTAGCTGGCCTTTCACCTTATCATCCATCTAAGGGACCACTCTATTCGGAAGTTGCAGTCAACTCGGGGATGAGTTCTTTCCTGAGAAGGGGAGAATTGATGCAGAAGATCAAGCATAGAATCGAATTAATGAAGAAATCAGGCAGAGAATCAAATCAGCTGATTTACGAAATTTCCAATTGGGAGATTCTTTCCTGAATAGTATTGCATCAATCTTGGGTGGGAAGGATATAGTGTACCTTAGCTTTTATTGCATTTGATTTTCTATTTTAATTCATCGAGTAATGAGAAGATTCTAGTATTGGGGGTTGGCCTATAAATAGTCCCTTTAGCAACTATTGTAATTAAGTGAATAACAATTCTCTCCTTAAGGTTTCTCTGTAAACACTTGTATCTTCTCTATTTAAGCTTTGCCAAGAGCAAGCTTTCTTTGATAGACTATTCGTAAAATAGTCTTTCTATCAATCTAATTGTTTCTTAGTTTACTCGTCCTACATCAAATTTTGTTATACACTGTAATTGTACTCAGTTGTCTTACTTTTTCCAATCAAGGGTTTTGCTTTTCCAATTTTAATGTATGGCAGGAAGAGCTTGAAATTTTTGTAGCTCCCTACTTCATATTATTATATGTGGTGTGAGATAGAGTAGAACTTCAAGGGATAAGAACAGACTCCAATTCACCCAGGTAACGTAAAATAATCAAAGTTTCACAAATTGAAGAAAAAGGCTAAATTGCTATCCTCCTTCCTTAACTAGGAATGATGCTCTTCCCTAACTATTTTTGAACATCTGAGGGTCAATTGTGACATGCCTCCACAAATTAAAGGAGTGAGTGCATGCATAGCATGTATATACCTTCTCTGACTCCTGGCAGATAGTGTGACGGCCACTAAACATAGCAGCAAGCATCGAGTCAGGCTCTCGCTGCGTGAGGGTATCCAGTGTGGTGCAAAACTTCTTCCCTCCTTTAAATAAGAATTATAGGATCACCAAAAGGAGATTGTGCGTGAGAAAATGACAAGGAAAAATCCTACAGTAATATTTCTGCATGACAAATTCTTCAGCATTGTCCTTCCGTATTCAAGTAACAATATGAAGACATTCAACATATTAATTGTTATACTCATCTCAGACCCAAATAGATTTCTGCTTCTAATATTGCATCTTATGCTTCATTTACTGTACATTTACTGTACAGTGAGAAAATGGAAAACCTATGAATTAAAGGGGAAAAAAAGAGTACTACTTGCAAGATAGTTCCTAAAAGGATTCATCGGATGTACAGTGATAAAATTGGAAGATAGTGCAGAAAGGCCAGAAATCAGCTTTTTGTCTAAATTTAAATATGAAATAGAATAGCTGTACATTACGATTCAAATCATCAAATGTCTAAGCATAAGAGCGAGGGAGGGAGGGTATACCGATATTCAGACGAACCATGGAAGAGGAGGAGCTATCGGAGTGATCGGCCATTTTCGCTTCCTTCCTAGGGTTGAGTTTGGGGTCGGGGATGGATGATTCAATGCACCGAAACACAGTCTCCTTCAATAGGCGAAGCTGATTCTTCTTTCTAGTCCTCGAAACTTTTCACTCTTGCCCCTCTTTGTTTTAAGTAATTTTCACTTTAACCCCTATACTTCCCGTATTTAGGAATACTCTACTATAAGCAAAAATAAACTCCTCCTCTTCACAAGTAATTTTTTGAAAAATACCTCGGACAAAAGCAATTTTTATTTTATTTTTTTAAAAAAAAACAATTTTGTTGGCCAAACAGTCCATAAGACTACTTCAATTTTAAAGTTTGTAGTATTGAAAGTTATTGCATAAAGTTTACACTTATTTCTTGGCTATAGGTCTTGTGTTTTTAGATGAGAAAATGACAAAAGTAGGACATTAATTTATAAGCAATGGTCTTAATATTTCGCATTCCGGGTAGGTCATCTACCAAAGGGCAAACTTTCAAAGTCAAAGGTCAAAAGTTTTGTTAAACACAAAAATTTGGTAATTGGTAAGGTGACTTACTTCACATGTCAAAAGTTCAAGATAAGCTTCTTCCAGGGTTATTTGTATTATTGACTTAATCATTATCATCATTGAGAAGAGTATTACTTTTGGGAGATCATAATTGTGTCAATGACTATACAATTGTAAAATTTTGATATTAATGGAGGTTAATTGGGAGATCATACATTACTTATTACACATAAGAATTTTAAACCAATTATCTGATGTGAGTATAGTGATTTTTCGTACATACTGAGATGTGCATCTTTTTTACATCTTTATAGAAATTGCAATAATCATCCAAGAGGATGGCTTGACGATTTTAAAGATTGGGTAACAACCTTTGAAACTAAAGTTTATATTTTATTAAGTGAATTCTTTTCCTCTTCTTAAACCTTATTCGATAGAATTACTATTGTGCTAGTGAAATAGAAGATAGTAGATGGCACTATAGGCATGTAAATTTTATTAGAATTAAATTTATTAAGTAATTTGGACAATATTTTAAATTCAAGATATATTGGTCCAAATAAATAATTATGGACTAATATAATTGAATTAATTATATAGGCCCAACACATATGGGATAAAAAATAAGTCTTAATCCATTGGGCTAGCCCATTTAATTGGGCTAAAGTGATGAGCCCACTTCATTAAGCAGAAGATGTCATCTTCCTATAGGCCCAAGTTTGGGGTCACGTGTCAAATGACGTGGCACGCCAAGTCAAACTGAAGATCCAATAAGATCATGTCACGTGTCAAAATGACAAGGCATGCCGAGTCACATTTAAAGGCCAATGAAACTGCGCCACGTGTGCAAGTGACATGTTCAGGCCAATCAAATGTGGCGTTGTCACATGATGATAGGCTATAATTGCGTATTTTAGTCGCTTATTACACTCTAATTTACTCCACTTTAATTGAGTTTGAGCTCAAATGATAGTGAATTGCACTTAGTACGTGTTTTATGCCTTGCAGGAAGTGATCCTGAGCTCAAAAGCTAATTTGGAGCTAAATTGATCAATTTGGAGCTTTGAAGTCTGAGTAAAAGCCCAATACGTTAAGCGGGGATCGTGTTCGGGAGTCGTGTACCAAGTCTGGATGTTAAAAGAGGACGAAATAAGTTTACTCTGAGAAAATTGCACTGCTGCGCCGCATGGGGCGCCGCAAGGCGCGGCGCAGCAGTGTAAAATGGTGCTTGACTTGAAAATATGAAGTTGCAGCTAAAATGCACTACTGCCGCCGCATGGTACGGCGCAGCCTGCGGCGCGGCTGTTCAGATTTTACAAAGCTAGGTCCTAGTTCGCGCAGGAAAGGGTTTTTTCGTCTGGGCCCGACCCTACTTGGTATAAGTACATGTAAAAACGCTATTTTGAGAGGTTGTACAGATTTGAGACATAGATTCGACCTAAGGAGGCAAGAACACATTGGGAGCAAGGCGGAGAATTCTTCTACGAGTTTTTCCTTCCTCTTCCTATTTTTCATTGTTGGTTATGACTTTTAGTATTGTAGTTTTACATACTATTATGAATAGCTAATTTGTTATCTAGAGTTTTGATAGAACCTTTTGTAGGATAAATTCTTGTTATTTTTATATAATTGAGCCGTAGTATTTTCTCTATTTGTTTAACTACGTGTTTGTTGTAGTTAATTGACAGGATCCTCAATTAGTTGTGCCTATTTAGTGTCCATAACTCGGGAGAGAGTGCATATTTAGGTAGTTGTTGAGCAACACCACTCCCAAAGTATAAGAGGGATCTATAAATGCGGGTTTAAAGGCGGGATTAGGGATAACGAAGCTTTGGGTGCAATCTAAAGTGAGCTCTAATAAACAAACCCAGCTAGCGTAACTCGGGAGAGTGCGTCTAGTAAATTGTGGTAATTACTCGGGAGAGAGTTACGACAGTCAGAGCGCTCGTGATCGGTAGAGAATACTTAAGCGAATTTATAGAAAACGCAGCGGGAAGGATTCCGACAATTGGGGAAATCATAACTCTAGACCTCCTTAATCTTTTCTCTAACCCTCAGTATCGTTAGTTGTTAATTTATTATTTTAATTTATTAGTTAATTAGTTAAACAGAAGAATCTTAATATCTATAAGTTAGGAATTGTTCAAGCTTGTCTTCTTGGTGATAGTAAACAGTTGTAGCTAAACCTTAGTTCTCTGTGGGATTCGACTCCGGACTTGTAAACCGGATTATATTTGCAGCGACCGCATTGTCCTTTTTATAAGGCATAGTTGGGCGTGATCAAATTTTGGCGTCGTTGCCGGGGAACTAACGGTGTCGTTGTAGGTGTACATATTGCTAGGTTTCAAGTTTGAACTTTTATTTTATTATTTGATTTTTTTTTAATTTTTTTATTTTAGTTTTATTTGTTTATTTAAGAAACATGACATCATGGAATTATGAGAATTTTGTTGTTGGTAATTCTACTTTTGATCCTCCTTATGCATATTGTGAAGGAAACCACCCAGGGCAAAATTATCAAAATATTCCTGAGAGCGAGTTTTGTGCACCAACTCAATCTTATGTGTGGAATATGTGTGATATATGTGGTGGTCAAGATGGTCACTTTCACGGTTGTGCTTATATTTCTTACCTTCCCCCAACCCCTTACTTTGATGGTTCTTTTTTTTTCTGGTGAAGTTAATAGGAACAAAGAACCCACGGAAGCTGACCTAAAGAAGATCGAAGATATGTTAAAGTGCATTTTGGAACAACAGAGTAAATTACTACTGCGGATAGAAAGGCAGGAGGAAACTATTCACAACTTGAAAGTTCACATGAGTCAACTGGTTGAAGTTTTTAATGCTCAACAAGCCAATATTGTGAATAGTATCCAAGAAGAGCGTGAATTAGATACAGAAATTGATGAGCTAGAGGAGGAGGCTAGAGTAGAACACCAACAATCAATCACATTAGATTTTGAGGATGTCGATGTTGTAGAAGAGATACTAGAGTCAACCAAGGATATTGAGGATACATATTTAGTTGACTCTATTGTCATTAGTGTTGAGAATGTAGATAGTCCCAATGTTCATGTAGTTGAGCGCATTGGTCCTCACTCCAAGCATTTTTCCACATTGTGTTTAGATGATGATATGGAAATAGAGTCGTCCGAGCCATTTGAAGAGTCAAGGAATGAGGAACAAAGTGCTTACATTTTGGAATTCTTCTTGCCAGAAAGTTGGGATTACACACCTCATATAAAGGCCAAGAAGTGCAGAATACTACATTATTTTATTGGGCCAGTCAGATTCGTTCCACCACCCCAGGAGCATGATCATAGAGCAGAATCAAAACTTGGGGTCCGATTCATAAGTTCAAAGTGGAGGCAGAAAGTGATTCACGTCGTGCCGCGACGTTAAATCAAGCGCTTGTTGGGAGGCAACCCAGCTTTATTACTTTCTTTTATTATTTTTTTTTATTTTTATTTTTTTAATTGTATTATTTTTGTAGTGTCAATTTTTTTATTTTCTAGGAGCATGGAAAGCAAAGGTATTGGAAGAATGCAACAGCAAACCAAATGGTTGGAACTAAGTGTGAGGTACCCGCACGAAGGACCAAGCTGGGGAGAAGTCTGAGTACCCCATGAGCTGCTAGTGCTTCGGCCTTTGGCCTACCAGGGAGTTTCTTTTACCCTCTTGTATGTATGGGTGTGCATTGGGGACAATGCACAATTTTAAGTGTGGGGTGAGGAGATTGTCTGGGTGACTTTTCATGCTACTTTAGCTGTCTTTATTTTTTTAAAACGATTGGACTTTTCCTGATTGACGGATCTTCTAGACAGTTTTCTTGAGAGAAGTAAGCTTAAGAAATACCAAAAGATTTTTTGTTTGTTAGTA